AATATTTATTTAGCAATAAAATATGTGCGAACTAGTGGTACATGATATAACTGAATACATTATAAAACCTACAGAAAATAGAAATTAAAATCACATAAGTTTATAAAAGAGAAGAAACAGACATTTTAATTTTCCTGTCATACTCCCCCCTCCTAGTTTCCCTCCTTTAGGATATATATACCCCCATTTCAGAAACTACTGCTTTAGTGTATCAGAAGCAACATGGAGTTTTTAAATGTGTGGCCTTGGCACACAAACTTCCTAGGCCTCAGTTTCCTTGTCTTTAATGTAATAACATGTTTCTTCATGTTGCCATAATTATCATCACCTAGACACTTTCCTTATCCCTCTTCTAGCTTATTTATGGTGTGCCTTATTCATTCACTCATGCAGTAAATGATTCATTCTGCAAATATTTATTGAACCCCATCTATGCTGTTCCCCACCTATGCCATTGTGTTCATGGGAATACCACAGGGACAAGTGCAGTCAAAGTGCTTGCCCTCATGAAGTTTATATCCTGGCAGGAGAGACAAAGATTAAACAAACATATGACATAAAGGCAAGAAATGTTCAGTACTATAAAGATATTAAAAGAAGGGCACCTGTCTGGCTTAGTCGGAAGAGCATGTGACTCTTGATCTCGGGGCATGGGTTCAAGCCCCACATTGGATGTAGAGATTACTCAATAAATAATCTTTTTTATTTTTTTAAATATTTTTATTTATTTCTAGGAGAGAGAGAGAGAGACAGCATGAGCAGGGGAGGGTCAGAGAGAGAAGGAGACACAGAATCCAAAGACAGGCGACAGGTTCTGAGCTGTCAGCACAGAGCCCGACGCGGGGCTCAAACCCGCGAACCGCGAGATCACGACCTAAGCGAAAGTCGGACGCTTAACCGACTAAGCCACCCAGGCGCCCCTAAATAATCTTTTTTTTTTAAAAAAAGAGAGATATTAAAAGGCAATACAAAGTGATGTGAATTGGAGCAAAAGCTATTTTAGATTGGATGGTAAAACAACCTTACTAAGGAATGACATTTGGATAGGTACCCAAATGAAATGATAGATATCTAAGGAATTAGAAAAAGAGCATCCAGTTATAGGGATGATATAAGCATCCAGGTAGAGGGCCACGTCCAGTCGGAGTGTCCTAGGACAAGTGAGAAGTCAGTGTGACCAGAGCAGGAGAGACAAGTTAATCAGAGGCCAGAGCATCTTGCATCTTGAGGCCATTTTCAGGACTTTGAATTTTATTTGGAGTCTGATGGAGGACTGCAGGAGAGGACTTAGAGCCATACTGAAGGCCAATTAGCACAGCTCCCAGGGTGGATACTGGGTAACAGACCCTACTTACACACCATCAAGTTCAGGGATCACTTGGATCAGGCTGTGTTAGCTGGGGGCAGGTTGGGGGTTCTACGTGAGGGCTGTATTTATGCCTGAATGTATGGTGCTTAGTGCTCTCTGTGGTGATCTCGTATATTAAATGACCTTGAAAGTATCTGGTTCAGGTAAGGTTGAGCTCGCCCACAGTGTAGACCAGCAGACACTCTGTCAGTGTCTTGTAGGGTAGATCTGGAATGAAAGAAGCTTCCATAAGTTCTGATGTGACCTCCACTCACTCCCACATTGCTTTCCGCAACTGTTGGCCAGTTGATGAGGTCTAAAAACTTGCAACTGTCACCTGTCCAGGAAAATATTGCTAATACATTTGCCATGTGGCCTGAGTGTACAGGCCAGGATGTCCTTCCTGTAATATTTTTAGATAAGTAAATGTAGTTCGATTTACCCATGTGTCTGAGTATCTGAGATTGATCTTCCTGTCAATGTGAGCCTACAATTGACACTTGGCCATGCAGAAACCTGGCAGCTGTGTAGAAACCAGGGCACTCGAGGCTTTGGGGTAAAGAAATAACAAGCTATAATTTGTATTCTTCAAAGATCCCTCCACCTGCTGTGTGAGAAATTTATTGTAGGGGGGGCAAGAAGAATCAGGGAAACTAGTTTGGGGACTATCGAGATGACAGTGCTGGCGGCAGTTAGAAGTCGAGATATATACTGAGGGCGGAAGCAGAAGAATCTGCTCTTGCCTGGCCTCTGATTCAACGATAACTTGTAGGTTAGGGCCTGATCACCTGGGAGAATAGCGATGGCGTTTCCTGAGAAGACAACACATCCAGGTTGGGATGGAGGACTCAGGAGTTTTGTTTGAGACATAATAAATCTGAGATGCTTACTGTCCATCTCTATGGCGATGGTGCGTAGACAGTTCACTAATTGTCTGTCACGGGAGTTATCTGTTCATCCTTTAGAAGGAAAATACATCTCCGCTTCACCTATTTATATTAGAATATGATTTGGTCAGTGAGCTGGGCAGCCAGGTGCATGACTGAGCAAAAGCTTTAAATGGGATTTCATGGTTTGTGTTGCACTCTCTTGCTCTGCCCTCCACCATAAACACAACATAATCCAGAAATTGGCTACTGGATCTAGAATTAGAAGTTATGCTAGTCCAGCCAAGTTAGGCAGAGCCACAGATAATCCATAGCATTTATGTACCATTAACAAGAAACACATGTTTAGGGGCGCCTGGGTGGCTTAGTCAGTTAAGCGTCCGACTTTCGCTTAGGTCATGATCTCGCGGTTCGTGGGTTCGAGCCCCGCGTCGGGCTCTGTGCTGACTGCCAGCTCAGAGCCTGGAGCCTTTTTCAGAGTCTGTTTCTCCCTCTCTCTCTGACCCTCCCCTGCTCATGCTGTCTCTCTCTCTCCTAGAAATAAATAAAACATTAAAAAAAAAAAAAAGAAACACATGCTTATTGTAAGGCATTGGGATATTGGACTAATGTGCTACTACATCAGGAATTGATTGTATAGTACCAGGGCCATCAGTATATAGGCAGCGTATTTGAGGTCATAGTACCCAATGACATCACTTAGGGAATAAGCATAGATCAAGACAAATACAGAGTCTTGGGAAAAGGAAACTCCATGAAAACAGAGTGAAAATCCATGGACAAAGATATCCCACATTTTTTTTAAAGTGTTTTATGAAGGGGTACCTGGGTGGCTCAGTCAGTTAAGCATCTGACTTCAGCTCAGGTCATGATCTTACGGTTCATGAGTTCGAGCCCTGCATTGGGCCCTATGCTGAAAGCTTGGAGTCTGGAGCCTGTGTCTTCAGATTCTGTGTCTCCCTCTCTCTCTGCCCCTCCCCTGCTCATGCTCTGTCTCTCAAAAAATGAATAAACATTTTTTTTTTAATTTTAGGTGATTTGTGAAAAGGAACAAAGTCCATGATGCCAAATACACCTGAGGGTACAGGAAAGAAAAAGACACAGAAATTACGTTAAATTTAGCAAGAGAGAGAACATTGATGACTTTGACAAAAATGATCTCAATGAATTGATGGGGGGAAAATTGGCAAGAATTGGATAGGACATGAGGTGAAAATGTAGAAGCAAAAAATACAAACAATGGGGCACCTGGGTGGCTCAGTCGGTTAAGCATCCGACTTCGGCTGAGGTCATGATCTCACAGTTCGTGGGTTCAAGCCCTGTGTCAGGTTCTGTGCTGACAGCTAGCTCAGAGCCTGGAGCCTGCTTCAGATTCTGTATCTCCCTCTCTCTCTGACCCTCCCCTGCTCACGCTGTCTCTCTCTCTCTCAGAAATAAATAAAAAACATTAAAATATTTTTAATACAAATGACATATTTTATAAATTTTCCATAAAGAGGAACAAAGGCATGGAGCAAGGAAGAGGTTTAGGAAATTCTGCTTTGTTTTCCAGATGAGAGATTATACAGAGTGTTTACATATTGATGAGAAAAATCCAGTAGAAAGCCATCATTTCAAAGTAATATGATAAATTAACTGATGCTCAGATGAGTGAGGACTATTGCCAGATTTTATACTAAAGTTTTTATACTGATAATGTTTAAATATACTGTCACCAGGAATCCAAAGAAAAATATTAAAACTTTATGATGCCCATTATTCTCTTCACCACCAATTCCCCGAGGATTATAAGGGAGCCACAGACAAGGAATAACAAATAATTAAATGCCACTCTACTAATGGTTCTTATAGTGCCTAATATTCCAGTTCAAAGTCTTCATAATGGTTGACAAAGATTCCACAGCTCAGACTTCTCCTTCGAGACTTGGATCCAATTCTTAAGCTTAACCTCTCTAGAAAACTTAAGGAAGAAAGTCAATTGAAGATAGTGGGTTTTTTAAAATATATTTTAATGTTTTACTTATTTCTGTGAGAGAGAGAGAGAGAGAGACAGCGTGAGCAGGGGAGGGTCAGAGAGAGAGGGAGACACAGAATCTGAAGCAGGCTCCAGGCTCTGAGCTAGCTGTCAACACAGAGCCCGATGCGGGACTCGAACCCACAAACCGTGAGATCATGCCTGAGCCAAGTCGGACGCTTAACTGACTGAGCCACCCAGGCTCCCCAAAGATAGTGGTTTTGAATCCACTTGCATATTCCCATAGAAGTGAAGAAAGAGCAAAAGTGAAGGGGCTCTGTTTGTGCTACTTATATCACAATGTCTTGTCCATTACCTATTAAGTCCCAGTTAATGTGTTGAGTTCTAATAATTCATGTTAGTAACCGTTCCTCCCTTCAAGAGACAGCTAGCAAGGACATGGGCAGGTTGGTCATAGAAGGTCAAGTTCTCCCCTACTGCATAGGTGGATGATGGTGTTTTCTCCATGAGCAACTCATTCATATTTAACTTGGAAACTCTGAAGATGATGTCCTAATCAAAGGCATGCCCTTCAGAGTGGAAATTTCAGATGTTGAGGTACAGGACTGGCAGAAGACTTGGGGTAATGCCCCTTCCATCTCCCCTCATGGTGAAGCTGGCTTGTGCAGTCTCCCTTGGGACTCTTATACACACATCATGTGCTTCACTATAAAACTTCTAGAAAGCTCTCTTCTATTTGCTCTTTCCCTCCCAGGATGCTCAAATGAACATTCTCTTTTGAAACAGCCCATAATTATCAAATCACTTGATTTTTATTGCAAAGAAAGAATAATTGCACCAGAATCCAATGACCATGATTTTTGGGAAGCTCAAAGGGAATTTCATAATTCAGAATTAATTAGGCAATGAGAGAGAACAGGAGGCATATTTTAGTATATTAATTCATGCCAAGTTCAAACTCATTCCATCTCAGTTGCCCAGTGTGAATGATTATGCCATTAATCCATGGCTAGGGGAGAGCTATGGTGACTGTAATACATTTCTAAGGAAATAAAGAAAAATGTCACTTTTCCCCTTCAACTAATTCTTTGAATAGAGCTACATAATAATAATACCTTTATTTATTTATAGGGCATAAATTCTCCAGAGCTCAATAAACTAAAGGATAAGCAAAATGCTGAAGGGGGGGGTGGTAGGGGGAAGAAGTCTTCCAGCTAATTCTGAAACAAAACATTAGAGGGGGAAAATGACTAAGGAGAGAAGCTGAAAAATTTTTTAAAAAGCTTGGAAAAGAGCTAAAGGGAAGAGAGGATGATGTGGCTTTTTCATCTCCCTCCCCTTCTATGGAACACTCTCCGGGTGGTGACTCAGGAGAACTAGCATGGGGGGGGGGGGAGGGAAAAGTTTCATAGACATTTCATCAGCTCTGAACAGGACCCCTGGCTCCAATCATCCTTTGCTGTCAAGACGATGCAGGTCAGCCTGCCCCCTTCCAGGTGCCCTTACAGTTCGTGTACGGTTTGTTGAGAATACTAGTATTATGGGGATTAGATCCCAGGCTTTCTGATTTATGAATTCGGCGAGAGAGAAAAGGCAAGGAAATCTGGGAATTCTCAATCGCCACCTTTTTGGTTTCCCGCCGGCACTGACTGCATGGCGCCCTCTGCTGTCCAGACTGGGTTCTCTTACAGTCCAGAGCAGGGTTTTTTTCCCCACCTGAGGAAGCAACACAGGGAAAATAAAAATATTAGTGGAAGAATAATTTTATTTTAAAATAATAGTTTTACTGAGTTCCAAGAGAAAGATACATTCTTAAAACCTGTATTATGCAACTTACTGAAGAGAAGATCAATTAGAAATATGAGAAGAGAGCTTTAGTTACTAAACTCATAACGAGCACATTTGATACAGCAACCAAAAGGAAGTATCTAGTCATTTATCCCTTGTGCACACACAGCCCGTTAGAGAGCCTCAAGTGTGTCCGGGTGCTTTATCTCATTTCAGCCCCAAGTTGCTGGAGATGACCCTGACCTTTCCTCAGTGCTCCAACCGGTCCACCCAAACTCCATATATATGTCCAACAGACATCACACAGGCAACTGTGTGCAAAACAGAACTTTTGATTCATCCTCTCCCTCCCTTACCTGTTCCTCTCTCCACTCTCCCCCACTGGCACCACCATCTCTTAGCTACTCAGGCCCAAAGCCTAGGAATCACTTTTGACCCCTCTCTTCCACACGTTTTACTTCCAAAGCACTGGTAATTCATGTTAGGTCCGTCCTCACGATAATGTTTATAGGCAAGAACTATCCCAACTAGTAGGTGAACATTTGAGGAGTAACAGAATATTATGTACTTTCAAAGGGTCTCCCCACAAGTACTTATTAATTACAAAAGGTGAAATAATGACCTTACTATTACCATTAATAGGACTGATTGACAGTGAGTGACTCCTAGTGTCATGGAGGAATAGAATTCAGCATCACTTCTATGATCTCCTTGCCAAAAGCCCATAACATGGATCCTACCACGAGGAATTATCAAACCCAAACTGAAGGCCATTTTACAAAATAACTAGCCTGTACTTTTAAGAATGTCCACATTGTGAAATATGAAGACTCAGAAACTGTTCCAGAATAAAGGAAATTAAAGAATGGTAGGACAAAATCCTACACATGATCTTGGATTTTCTGTCATTGTAAAAAATAGAACTGAAGCAATTGGAGAAATAGAAGTTCTGTAGATTATATGATAGCATTATAACAATTTTTTTTTATTTTTTAATGTTTGTTTGTTTGTTTTGAGGGAGAGAGAGACACCACGACGGGGTTAAGTGCAGAGAGTGAGGAGACACAGAATCCGAAGCAGACTCCAGGCTCTGAGCTGTGAGCACAGAGCCCGAAGTGGGGCTCCAACCCACCAACTGCGAGATCAGGACCTAAGCCCAAGTCTGACACTTAACTGACTGAGCCACCCAGGCAGCACCCCTAGCAATATTAACTTCTGATTTTAATAATGGTACTGTGTTGTTAAATGAATTTCTTGCATTTTGGGGCACCAGGGTGGCACAGTCGGTTGGGTATCTGACTCTTGATTTTGGCTCCAGTTGTGATCCCAGGGTCATGAGATTGAGCCTGTCGGCTCTGCACTGACAATGTGGAGCCTGCTTGGGATCCTCTCTCTCTCTCTCTCTCTCCACCCCCCTGCCCTTCTTCTGCTTGCACTCACATGCCCTCTTTCTCTCTCACACACACAAAATAAATAGATAAGCATTTTTTAATAAAAATAAATTAAAATGGCAACTCTCTCCCAATTAATTTATAAATTAATCGCCTGCAGGCACTTGTGGCATTTGAATCCGGCTGGTAAACACTGCTGCTCTCTGCGGAGCTGTGTGAGATGTCAAACAGGAAGCCACCACATCCGGTCTGGACTCTCTTGGGCTTTTTCTGAGACCAACCCAGACGCTTCGAGGCTGTTTGCTTTCCTCACTGCATCTGTCCCCCTCCTTCCACCCCAGTCACTCCATAAGCTCCCTTTACCTTTCTCTATACTACAGGGACACCCCTCCTCAGAGATGCCCTCAGCTTCGGATTCCCCTCTGCGCCACCTCCCCTCACCCACATTCAGACTCTGACCTGGAGCAAGACTTCGAGCAGATTTCACTAGAGCTGATTTGAAAGCAGCCACCCTCGGTGTGCCCAGCGTGGGGAGCAGTGGGAATGGGGGCGGAGGGGAGCATTAGCTTCTCTCACCTCAAAATGAGATAAAAAGCTGTTTTCTTAAAATAACCTCCATATTCTGGTCACTTATGAGGGGGCTTCTGATAAGTGATGCGGCAGATGTCCTCTCCCCCACCCACTTCTGTGGTCGCACACACCACAGGGAGATGAGCAATCCTTTCCAGGCACCCTCTCTGCCACAGCCTCGCGGCTGCGCCTCACACATGCAGCTCTGGCCCATGAGTTCCGGTATGCTGCTGGCTTCTGACATAGAACTTTCTGGTTCCAAATACCTCACTCATGTCTTCACCTTTCCCCTCCTGCTACGTAATTCCCCGGAAGCCCCTAAAAGGAAGTGCGTCACAAGTGCTCACACCCAACGCCTTTGCTAATCCACGAGCTTCACTTGTCCTCTTCTCCGTCGAGGCTGACACAGCCTGCAAAGCGACATCACACACCGCAGTGTCCTGTAGTGACACCTCTGAGCCATCACCTCTTCTAATGTCCTGTGAATGAACGCAGGCCATTGTCTGAGACCAAAGGATGTTGTGTTTTCTTTGAAATTTCTTTCTTTGAAAGCACCCACCCTAACCGTGTCACATGCGTTGGTGGTGTCACACGCCTTCTCTCTTTCCTCGTACTAGTCTTAGGATTTGACATTTTAGCGGCACAGCTATTCTGCTTGTGCCTCATTGTCTCTCGGAGAGTTTTAGGGAAAATAATGCTTTCATTTTGTCCTCTTGACCTCTCTCTTCCACGGGCTGAGCTGGGGCGCACGCCCTGGGCTGTCTCCCTGTCTTCCTCTCTCTCCTTGCATTACCCCTCCTCCTTTTTTTTTTTTTTTAAGTTTATTTATTTTGAGAGAGAAAACGTGCGCACGCACTCACGCAAGCGGGGAAGGGGCAGAGAGGGAGAAATAGGTACCAAGCTGGCTCTGTGCCCCACAGTCTTGAGATCATGCCCTGAGCCAAAACCAAGAGTCAATTGCCTAACTGACTGAGCCACCCAGGTGCCCCTACTCCTTCTGCTTTGACCCAAGACTGATGCTCACTATGAAGCTTTCAATAAAAGGGATGGCTTTCGTCCCTCTTCTGGCTTCTAGAGAAGGAGAACACCGTGTTGGCTGGGCCCAGGTGTATAACCTTACTTGGCTTCTAGCCTCCATTAGATGGAATTTGAATCTCACCCCCTCACACAGTCAGCTGCTTCCACTTTCATTTCCCCTCTGAAACCCTAATTCCTCTCAATTGTCTCCCTCGGGCTCCAATATGGCTTCTTGAGAGGCACTCTCCAGCCTCCATGCTTTCAGTCTTCCATTCAACAATTACAGGGGCATTTATCAAGCGTCATCACTTTTACAAAACCACCCAATCTGAGTATAATCAAGAAACGTTCAGTCATGCATGAAGGCAAAATTGCAGGGATAAGGATATCTGTATTAGGTGTGTTAATAAAACAGTGAAAAAATACAACTAATATAATTGTTCTGAAATAAATAACTGGTTGACTACACAATGGTATGTCTACACAATGGAAAATCAGGCAAGAGTTATAATTAGTGGTGTAGAAAGGTGATTCTCAAACTGTCAAAGAACAGCCTGCATCAGAATTATCCAAGGGCTTGTTAAAAATACAGAGTTCTGGTGACACCTGGGTGGCTCAGTCAGTCAAGCATCCAACTCTTGATTTCAGCTCAGGTCATGGTCTCAGTTCATGAGATCAAGCCCCACGTCAGTCTCTATGCTGACAGAAGAATCTACTTGGGATTCTCTCTTTCCCTCTCTCTCTCTGTCCCGCCCCCATTCATGTGTGCTCGCTCGCTCTTGCTCTCTCTCTCAAAATAAATAAACATTTAAAAATACAGAGTTCTGGGCACAGATCCAGACTACAGAATCAGAATCTCAGGGAGTATGACTTGGAATCTTTATTTTAACAGGCTCCTCCAGTGATACTTAGTGCATATAATATTTTAAAACTTATATCCGTGGTAGTTAACCATGAAGGGAAATGGTCATCATATACTGTTAGATGAAAATTATAGGTTATAGAAAAGAGCTATAATATAATCCCATTTTTTAAAACAAATAGTGTAGATAGCTAAAACTGAAAGGATATTTGCCAAAATATTAAGAGGACTTAGTGGTAAGTTTATAGACGATTTTTATTTTACTCTTTTGACGTGTTTGCTTGCTGTGTGCAGTTGCTGCATTTCCAAAATAGGCATGTATTTCATGAGTACTTAGCAAATGATAAAAGTTGTTTTGTTTTTACAGAACTGTACAGGAGTTAAACTGTGTAAGACTTTTTTTAACTTTTACTTTCACCTTGAATTTAAGAAAGCAAATGTGAGGCAGCTTGCAAAATTTTACACCTGACAAAATTTTTAAATGAAGAATCAGAAACAAAGGGGAAATTCTGGTATTAATATAAAATGGAGCCAAGATTAAGGTTGGTTTCCAAGAATACACCACCATGAACTTTAGTATTGTTTCTAAAGTTGAGCTGTTAAGTTTGGCACTCCTGATGTCCCGTGGTAACTGAGCAGACAAGGGTAGTTAGGAAGAGGAAGGAGAGAGGGACTACAACAAAGTTTTAACTTGGATGACTATGTGGATTCTAGTGCCCTTAACCGAGACAACAGATTCATGACAGCCTTGATTAGTTTTCTGTGTAAGTCCCCACTGGGAAAGAGTAAAAGAAAGCAAGCATGGAAGAGAAACCTCCCTCTGCTACAATTGCTGGGCACCCAGGTAAGTGATTGCCCCACATATCAGGTTTGCAGCCAGAGATTCAAGCTCCAGTCTCAATAAAAAGTCAGGGACATTATAGGACATCTGCATGGCTCAGTTGCTTAAGCATCTGATTCTTGGTTTTGGCTCAGGTCATGATCTCACAGTTTATGAGTTCGAACTCCACACTGGGCTCCACAATGACAGTGCAGAAACTGCTTGGGATTTCTCTCTCCCTCTCTCTCTCTGCTCCTCCTTCCTTCAC